AAGAGTTGAGGCATGCACCTTATCAACTCCTCGCCACCGTACTTGAATAGCTCAGCTGGCAGGCTGTCAGCTCCAGCAGCTTTGTTGTTTTTCAGCCGCGTTATTGCTATACGTACCTCGTCATAGTCAGGCGGAGGAACGTCGACTCCGTCATCATCGACTGCGGGTTCGGGTTCTTCTTCTCCACAACTTTCCGTGCTGCTACCATTTAGTAGGGCGGAAAAGTGTTCCATCCATAATTAAAGTACGCTCTGGACATCAGTTATTAGGTCGCCATTATTGTTCTTACAGGAGTGCGCCCCGGTCTTTAAACCTTCCGTAAGTCACCTGACTCTGGTAAAATGTTCAGGCATTCTTCCTGTCGGCCAGCATTTCAAGCTCATCGCACTAACGTATTTCGGTCTCTCTCTTCTTATTGCGGCAATTACGTTTCGCTTCCCTCTTCAGATCCCTATGTCGGCCCTGTAGGCGGCATCTTTTTTCTCTGCAGCTTCCTGACACTCCTCATCGTACCAGTTGTTCTTTCGGGCTCGCTGAAATCCGACTACTTCTTCGGCGGCGGTTCTTAATGAGCGGGAAATGTGGTTCCACTGCTCGCATATGTCAGTTTGTTGCAGAGTGCTCTCTGAGAGCAGGTGTGTGAGTTGAGTAGCGAATGCATTGGCTGTCTGTTGTGATTTCAGCTTTTCGACGTTAAGCTTTCCTTGCATATTTGGGCCCACTTTTTTCGCTGCCGTGCAACTGTAACTGCATACACAGCACAACGACTATACCCCATTGCACTCCAAATTACTTAGTATTAAATGCTGAAAAAGTTATTTGCCCAAAGTTAGATGATTTTTCAACTAATATTGAATTATTTGCAAAGATACATATGTATCAAAAGTATAAGCATTTGGTTTATCTCAAAGAGGCTGCTAGTTAATTTACATCAATTTGAAGTTAGTTGTTGCATATGTAAGTAGAAATAAATTAATTTTTCCGAGGTAATTAAGGTGGTCCTTAAAATCAAATGAGCGATTTTTTTTCAGTCTCACCCCTTCAATCGGTAATGACACGGTCACAGATATCACATACAAATTTTGGTCCCGGTAGGAGACGGTTAAGGCGTGTCGCACAGGGGTCAAAGTTCAGATTCCTCTATAGAGACTCAAAAAATTAAAATTAATTTGTTTACCAACTCATACCCAAAATCGATTATACCAAAGTCGAAGATATCACCTATAAATTTTGGTCCCGATTGGGGTCGGTTAAAGCGTGTCGCAATGGGGTCCATGGAGACTCAAAAAATTATAAATATTTTTTTCATTTAATACCCAAAATCGATACTACTAAAGTCGAAGATATCACATAAAAATGTTGGTCCCGATGGGACACGGCTGAGACGTCTTCGTATGGTAATCTGAATTTTGTCCCCTGTAAGTCATGCCTTAACCGACTTCAATCGGGGCCAAAATTTATATGTGGCAAAATGATATGTGATGTAGTATCGACATAGGGGTTGAGGCTTATGAAATCTGATGTAAAAAATTGCTTCTTACATTTAAGGACCACCCTAATGTGTATATGTAAATATAAAAGTAATTAATAAAAACTAACGTCTTTTTTTAGGCATGACTCGAGTGATTAGTAATAATTTAAATTAAATGTGTTTACGATAAGACGAGACAGCAGTGCGATTTGGCAAATACTAAATGTGACGCAAGATTTAAAAAAAATATATATATCCCCTATACAAAGTATGTATGTTCGACAATTTTTTTATGTGAAAACCAATGCGGAACTCCACCATCAACAAAAAAATAACCAAAAATTAACGCAGCTACGTCAAATTGGCACCTTATTGTACTAAAGTTTAACGAGCTACAAAAATGCATACCAAAATTTGTCGAAAGCTGCTGATTAGAAAGTTTGAAATTTTAGAGAAATTTTATAGAATTTTCATAATTTTTGTACCAAGTCTGAAATTTTAATTTATATGATGTTTTTCAAGTAATCAGCTATAATAATAATAATATTAATAGATTGGCGCTTACACGTATGTTAGTGTTTGGCCGAGCTTCTCCTCCGGCTTGTGGCGTGCGCCTTGATATTGTCACACAAATCGTACATACGACTCCGAACGGCGATTGTAATTTTATGAGAAGCTGTTTTTCATGGCAGAAATTGCTTGCCGAGGGACGACAGCTGTTAAGAGAAACCCTTTTTCTAAATTTTTCGGGATGTTGCTTTGACCAGGGCTTGAATCCAAGTGCTGCGGAGTGGAAGCACGGAATCGGAAGTATTAAAGAATAGTTGAATGCACAATTTGGTATTGCTATTGGAAGTTTCCTGAAGAGAACCAGAGTTTTCCGATAAAAAAAAAAATTGATTTTCAAGAATTCTATACCATTTTTACAAAAAGTTGTTTTTCCCCCATATAAAATACATATGTACATTGAACACTTTGAGCGCTTTGAGCGACCTCTAAATATTTTTTTAGTTCAAAATAAAAAAATAGGGGTATATTTTTTCGATATAGAACAATCCTAGGGGGTGAGAGCATTAAAATTTCGACTTCACTTATTTTGGACCACCCGACTGTAGAGTCAATCAATAAAGTTTAGGTCCACAGAGTTTTTTGCAATATGGGCAACAGTTAAATATTTTATTTTACGCTAATTTTTTATAAAAAAAATATGGTTGATTCTACAACAAAACCCCCAAAACTCAAAATTCCAAACCTTGTACAAAATTAGAGAAAATTCTGAAAGTTGTCCTTCAAATATTGCATTTTTTATTTACATACACTCTTTAAAAAAAAGTTGACAAATAGCCAATTTACACGACTGAAGACCTATTCTGATCTAAATCAATCGATAAAAACGCTTTTTTTCGTTTGACAATGTGTTTTTACTTATTTGACGACAAATGTTACTGAATTTGACATAGTGAAAACCAGCCTTTATACTAAAATTGAATAGGCTAAAAAACTGCGTACTCAGCTTTTTTTTAAAGAGTGTAAATAAAAAGTGGGGCATTTGGATGGGAATTTGCAGAATTTCCTTTAATTTTACACACGGCTTGGAACTTTAAGTTTTGGGGTTTTATTGTAGAATTAACCATATATTTATTTAAAAAAATATGCCAAAAATATAATGTTTAAGGAATAGTTCTCCGTATTGCAAAAAATTCGATGTATGTACGCTCAGTTTTCAAAATTTTAGGTTTCAGCAATATACGCGAAAATCGAGTTCTATGGACTTAAGTATTAAGTGTACATTAGACTGCATCACTCCCCATACAAAAAAAAATCGGTACTGTTTTTCCATTGGAATTATAAAACCTATTATATTTTACTACGCCTACCAAAGTATTTCGGAAAAATATTAGGATTTACGTGAGCTGGACCGATTTGAAAATACCTCAAAAAATGGAGCTTTTTATGAATAAAAATAGTTTCTTAAAGATGTTTTTTTTTAAATCCCCTCAAATCACAAAACGGTCAGAGCTTAAAAAATAAAATAAAAATATTTAAAACAATTTGAACGGAATCGTAATAATAAATAATAAATCTTTTTTCTATCAAAGTTAACGTGTTAATAAATATTTTGCGGGTAGGGTGGCTGAAAAATCCTGCCCAGGATATTTTTATTAACTACTAAAAATTCATTATTATTTTTTTAATTTTGTACTCATTTAAACATGTACATATGTAGGTAAGATTAGAAATTTTCACTCATCTGTTTAACACATTCTATAGGCCTTATGCTTTCGATTGGTATAACTGCAATTTGTTCATTAAACAAATGAGCGCAAATTTAAAAAAAATAAGAATAATAATAATTTTTGAACATTTAATTAAAAATATCCTGGCCAAAATTTTTTCAGCCAACCCACTCGCGAAATATTTCCTAACAGGTTAACGTAGATTCAATCCATGAAACAGATGGGTGAAGTTCGTGCCTATGTCGGATCTCCTACTAGAAAAACTTTCGATTTTTACACATTTCAACATTAATGACGAAAATTTTTACCATATGTATTTGAATGCGTATGCATATTTATATACATATATGATAGAGAAAGGCCCTTTCTAATGCTGGATTTCCACTAGGCGTTAAATAGCAAAAATTGTAATTACAAAGAATTACAACGATGGACATTAATAAATATTCGTGTCATTACGTTAAAAAAATAGTCATTGAGTTCATTTCCGCATAGAGATTCTTAAATCGCACCAACAATATACATTATATCAAATTCTTAAATTGTGACAAACAAAGGGCAGTACTAAAAAATAAAACAAAACTTTTTATTACAATTTCTCCAACATAGTAATTCTTTAATAATGCAATGCATACTTACATATGTGTATGTACATAAGTATGTATGTACTTACATACAAATATGTATATGTCCATACATATGTTTGTTAAAAAAGACAGAACTCTACAAATAAAACTTGTATGTATATTTTAAGTTATAAATTTCGTTTCCCAATGAATGCAGTTAGGTTCTTCATTTACAAAATGTTTAGTAATTTTTTAATATATATATTTAGTTCAATAAATATTTACACATGTAATTAAATATCAAATTGAATTCTTAAAATTTTAAGTTAGCCTTTCATGTTAAAATCCAACTGAAGTTACAGCAAAAGTACACTTGGTGCGAAAAATATTTGTCTACAAATAATTGTTGTAAAGTATGTATGTATGTAGACTTGTGAAATGCATGTAATCACTTGCATGTTACTTTTCAAGAAAACGTTTATGTATTATTTTCATCGCGTTTTTATGTTTGGTCTTCTGAGCTTTTCCCTTACATATTTTCGCTTTAAGAAAGCTTTAAAACGTTAGAATTTTATATAAATTATAAATATAAATATAATGAGATACTCTAACAAACAAGCGTACATGTAGCAACAAAGCTAAGTCGAAATACTCAAAATTGTAATGAATTGTATTACCATTTGCTCAACACTGAAATCAGCGTATTATCTCGTTTTTTTTTTTTTAATGCAAGCATTGCAGGCCTTTAAGATCGCAATGATGCTAATCGGCTTTGCATTTCCTGTAACTCCTCCTCTTCTTCACCAGCTTCATCTTCTGATGCAGTGACAGTAGCAGCTGGTACATCCTGCTTTTCTGCAGCAATACCTTCAGGAGGTAACGGCGCTTCGCCTAGTTTACCGTCCGTTATTTCCCACAGTACCTTATCCACTTCTTTTGCTGCTTCCTCTTCCATCTCCTCTGTTTCCTCCAGAGAATCCATAGTTTCGTCAAGCATCTCTTCAATTATGCCCGCCTTCATCATTTCTTTCGACATATCTCGCATAATGCCAGCTAATTCTGGATAGCGAACTAGGTTTTGCATGGCTTGCATGACTTCAGTGGATTTTTGCAACGATCCAGCGACGCGTAATGTAGCTATAAAAATAAACAGCATAATTATATACAGCTTATCTAAATGTTTATATCGTAAAAAACTTACCCAGTTGGTTTTTCATTTGCAATTGTATGGAGTTGAGGTGGGCCTTTGATGTGTAAATACGATTTATTGCTTTACGTGCTCGCACAATCTCTTTAGCAAGGATGACGCAAGTGTCACGATCATTTTTTGCTGCTGCTTGTTTTAATGAACGCTTCACTTTCTCCTCTTCGCGTTGAATGCTACGTATTTGTCGATCAAGTTGATTACCTTCCTTGCGTATTTTATGCGTCCACTCTTGTACCTACAACAACAGTGTTATAATCTCAGTATATCGTTGTAATTTAAGCATTTGTTTATGTTTATTTTTGATTACTAATTATTTGTATATACACCTGGTTTGCCTTGGTCATGAACCGACCCACTTTTGAGGAATGACTAACTTTTGTCATTCGTCAATTCTATTGAATCTGACTTCTTACCTGCTCTTTGGGATCTTTGGTTTGTGTTTTGCCGAATAAACCCATATTGTTTTTCGCTATTGAATTTGCAAATCTTTTATTTATGTTATCGCCAATAATTTTTTTAAAGTTTTCCAAAATGACTCATTTACGAAGGTTCTGTGAGACCAACAGAAATTGTTTGTGTCATCAAAATGTCAATTTGTTTGTTTTGACTTCGCACTACGCAACTGCGCAGCAGTGTTGCCATGTTCACCTTTGCTGCAAAATTCGTTGGGCCATGTAGCCTATTTGTGATATATTGGAGTACGCACAAAATTGGTTGTCTGTCATGCTGTAGCAGACCAACAAACACATTTCACGTCCGGCTGTAGCGGAACGTGTTGAGAAGCTCGCTGTGGTTGCTCCCAGCATGTTCGGGTTCGAATGCTGTCAGAAGTAATTTTTTTTTTTTATGTTTTTGGTTTTTATTGATTGCGAAAAAGCATTTGTAAAGTGAAGAACAAAAACGTGTACAGACGAAAAATATATATCAACAATGCCGTTGTTAGTATGTTGGAGTAGTTTTGTGCTACTCTGATGTAATACAGAGATGCAGTATATGGTCCTGCCCTGGGACATCGCATTGTTAATTGGACCATATTTTTTATATGAATAGTCGCGATTCTGGTAGGATTTTGAGGCTAGATTTATTTATTTATTAACCTCCATGAAACATTTTTTTTTATATATAAATATCGAAAATGTCGACACAACCGATGGTAGTATCGATAGTTTTGATTAAAAATTTAAACACAACAACATTTATTGAAATTGAGATCATTAGCGCTAAAATATTATCTATAGTTTTCCAGCTCTAACATTGGCCCAATGGAAGGGGTAACGTTAAAATTTATCCTTTCCAGGAGATAAAGGCAATCAACTAATCCGTGAATAATATTATAGACAAAAGTGAGCAATAATATAGACCTGCGGCTTTGGAGAGTTTTGAGATTTATTATTATTTTTTTAATAAGGAATTATATGTATATATAAATCAGGGAATTTATTGTCGAAATCGGAAAATTCTCAAAAAGTGGTGCCTACCCTGATGTGGAGTAACTGCGCGCAGTGTTGTAATCAAGATTGAATCAATTAAATTTAACCCTTGTCATAAAAAACGTAACCGAAAATCAGTACGTTTTTTTTGCAAATTTAGCGTTTTTAATTTTTAAATTTAATCGCAGCTCAGGTGAAAGGTTTAAATATAAAATTTCGGATTCTCTAGTTCAAACAGCAAAATTTTTTTTAAGAAAATCTTTCTTTACAACCCTCAATTGCAATTATCATGACAGTTTGTTTCAAAAATTATAGAATACATGAATGCGCATTCTCAGCGGCAATTACATTTCTTAAGTAAAGGTGAACAAAGCCGATTAGGAGGATAAAATAAACTGTCAGAAAAGTTAGTTTAATTAGATTAAATGTTTCCATAGGAAACGTGTTGAATTGTGTTAAAATGTAAAAATATATGATTAAAAAAAATAATAATAATAATAATAGGTTGGCGCTTACACATATGCCGAGCTTCTTCTCCGACTTGTGGCATGCGCCTTGATGTTGTCACACAAAGCGAAGGGACCTACAATTTTACGCCGACTCCGATCGACGATTGTATTTTTATGAGAAGCTGTTTTTCATGGCAGAAATACACTCGGAGGTTTGCCATTGCCTGCCGAGGGACGACCGCTGTTAAGAAAAATCGTTTTCTTTATTTTTTGCGATGTTGCTTTGACCAGGGCTTGAACCCAGGTGCTGATGAGTGAAAGCGCGCACTTCTTACCACTACACCACAGCGGCCGACAATAAAAAAGTAATAATTTAAAAAAATGTATAAACCGTAGAGTTTTCTGAACGTGTTAGTGAATTGCAGTGCATTTTAAGTTTGTGAGACGTTGTTTACTTATACTTCACAGTCAAAAGAGTCAAATCGGCAAACCTAAATCTCGAGTTTGTTTATTTGTTTGTTTTATTTTTACGTGTTATTTTTAACGTTAGTTTTTCTTCTATTTGCTAATTTATCAATCAATCAAGCATTTTTTTAGGGCGGAATTGGAGGAGTTAAAGCATTTTCGTCTCAGGGTTTTGGGCTTGGCCAAATTGGGAACCGTATTCGTATCGGAATATCAGTTGAAATTTTGTTGAAATTTCGGAATTCGGGCGGCATGGAAACTCCCTATTAATTTTGTGATCGCTTGACTACTTTTTGTTCGTACTGTTTGTTGTCTGCACGTTTTGACATTCGTCTTATCAAAGTTGAGGTTATGTCCAACCAGCTGTTTTTAAATCTCATTCCCACGCATAAACAATTGCATCACGACCATCCCGGCTAGTGTTATCGTGATGACGATTTTCAATTGTTTTAATTAATATTTGTATATTTTTTATAACATAGAGTTGCAGTAAGATTTTTGATAAGTGCGCAAATTATTGGAAAGCATGCAAAATTCTCGATATAGCAGTAGTTTGCTCAACACGCTCGCGCGAAATCTCAATTTACGTGCAATACCACCTAACTCAGCATTGAATGCAGTCGCCCTTTTTGCCAGTAAATATGTGCATCTTAGCAGTTACATGCATGCACGGTATAAGAAGACCGGTCCGCAACATGTTTCCACACTTTTTAAACCAGTGCCAGTTCCGCGAAATGCAGATGAACAGGACGTGGGCGCCGAAATGGTAGGCAAGTTGGATAAGGCTGAACTCTTAAAAACTCTTAACAAATTCACTCAAAAAAGGGAAATCAAAGCGCTATGTATAGAAAGCGGTCTCGATTGTAAGTTTTTAATATACATTAAACCACGCAAAGTTATTAATCACTAATTCTACCAACAGCTTACCTACAACAACAAGCATTTGCTTCATTTCGGCGCTATTGTATTGAGGCGGAAAATCTTCCCGTGGATTTACACATAACCATTAGTGATATATTGCAAAATGCCGGCCACGTTGATGACATTTTTCCTTTTTTCCTGCGTCACGCAAAAACCATATTCCCTCATTTAGAGTGCATGGACGATTTGAAGAAAATCTCTGACTTGCGGACACCTGCTAACTGGTATCCAAGTGCACGTGCAATAACGCGCAAAATTGTATTTCACGCTGGACCGACCAATTCAGGGAAAACTTATCATGCTATGGAGCGCTTTCTGACTGCCAAGTCAGGAGTGTATTGCGGGCCATTGAAGCTGTTAGCCACGGAAGTGTTCAACAAATCAAACGAAAGGGTAAAAGTAAAAACTATTCAGCTAAACGAATTATATTTTATTTTTTTTTGCATTCAGGGTACGGCGTGCGACCTGGTCACGGGTGAAGAACGTAAATTTGGTATCAACGAAGATACTCCGGCAAGTCATGTGGCTTGTACAGTTGAAATGACTTCTGTGAATACACCTTGTGAGTTTGAGACGTTCTATAGTACAAATTTCTTTATTTACTCCATTCTACTCCCCTAGACGAAGTCGCTGTTATCGATGAAATACAACAGTTGCGTGACCCACAACGTGGTTGGGCGTGGACTCGTGCATTTCTAGGTCTCATTGCTGACGAAGTGCACGTGTGCGGTGAAGCCGGTGCTTTGGAACTATTACAGAAAATTTGTGAAACTACGAATGAGACTGTAGAAGTGCATAGCTACGAAAGACTTACAGAACTGACCATTGAAGACTCGGCTTTAGTAAGTTTAGATAACATCCAGCCCGGAGATTGCATCGTGTGTTTCAGTAAAAACGATATTTATTCGGTATCGCGCGAGATCGAGGCAAGGTAAGGAGGGAATTCAAATACATATGTATGTATCAAAAAAATAATTTTGGGCATGAAACCCATAAAAGGTGAAACATTTTTACAAAGTTCGTATATCTTGCACTTCTAGAGGCAAAGAAGTTGCAGTCATCTATGGAGGACTGCCGCCAGGAACCAAGTTAGCACAAGCAGCAAAGTTCAATGACCCTGATAATAGCTGTAAAGTAATGGTCGCCACAGATGCCATTGGCATGGGACTTAATTTGTAAGTGAATTATTCAGCAAACATTCAATAAATATATAACTTGGCTGTTTTAGGAGCATACGACGCATCATCTTCTACTCAATAATGAAACCCTCAATGAACGAAAAGGGTGAACGTGAAATTGATACAATATCTGTGTCATCAGCGCTGCAGATAGCTGGTCGCGCTGGACGTTATCGTACTCAATGGGAACATGGCTATGTCACGACCTTCAAAGCGGATGATCTGCAGACCTTACGTAAACTCTTGGATCAAAAACCCGAACCACTAAAGCAAGCTGGCTTGCACCCAACTGCCGATCAAATTGAGCTTTATGCTTATCATCTACCAAATTCGACGCTTAGCAATCTTATGGTACGTGGTGAATCGTTAAATAATTAATTTATTTTGATCAATAATTCTATCCTAGGATATCTTTGTAAATTTATGCACTGTTGACGATTCATTGTACTTTATGTGCAATATTGAGGATTTTAAATTTTTAGCTGAGATGATTGAACACGTTCCACTGGCACTTCGCGCGCGCTACGTATTCTGTTGTGCACCTATTAATAAGAAAATGCCTTTCGTATGTTCTATGTTCCTAAAGGTAAAGAGAATGAAACTAAATAATAATAATGCATCCAATTTGTACATATATGCATTCCTAATTATACGCAGATTGCCAGACAATATAGCCGCAATGAACCAATCACCTTCGAATTCATCACCCGTAATTGTGGTTGGCCTTTCGCTTTGCCAAAAACTATCATTGATCTTATGCACCTGGAATCCGTATTTGATGTAATGGATTTATATTTATGGCTGAGTTACCGTTTTATGGATCTATTCCCAGATGCAGCAGCAGTAAGAGTAGCGCAAAAAGAATTAGATGATATAATACAGCAAGGTGTTTTTCAAATAACGAGATTGCTTAAAAACTCAGAGGCAAGTCAGAGTGCCGCCGACGGCGATATAACTTATAACTTACGACGTGCAACACAAATGCGAGGTATGAAACTCCATATAGATGTTTATGTAAATATATTCCTATTTTATTCTGTTTTGTACAACATAGAGCCACGCATTCCAAGTGCGTTACGCGGTCGCCTCACTGAGCGCTTATTAGCTCAAGGCTTGTTAACGCCCGGCATGATTAGTGAATTGCGGAAG